AAAATAACCAGTGAAGCAGTCTCAAGAAAGTCCAAATCCACAATGATGAAGATGAAAAGTGAAGAGATTCCAAGAGGGGAAATCCCAAGAGAAATGGAGAAGGAAGGAAGAGGTACCACTATGGGTCAGTGGCCAACCCTTAGCCCATTACCGCCGACAGATAGCGGGTGCTCTAACCTCACGCGCAAGCACTGACGCAGGCGGAAGAAACCTCGTCGGGCCCCACCCAGCCTCCCAACGAGGGAACCGATTTGATGACGGTACCACGCATACGCACTTTCCGTGTGCGCCACGGGTGCTCAAATCCACAATCCGCAAGCACTGACGGGCATCCTTTACCGCGGACGCATACGTGCGCCTTTTGACCGCAGGCGCGGTCGTTAAGGCACTCAGATGTCACGTTTTATTGATTATACATGTTTTGTATATATGTTTGTATGATATTCGCTAGTGTATGTGCGCGGCACATGCCATAGGTGAAATCACGTTTAAAATCCCTCGTAATATTAAGTTTGTGCCTTCCGACGCCGACTCACTCGTCAATACCAGTTTCGACCAGTCAATGGACACGCTAAAGCGGGACGCCTGGTTTACATTGGTATGACGCAAAATCCGTAACAATGGATACTGAGTACGCCCCGGGTTGAACTTAACTAAGTTAATGTAAAAAGATGAATAACTTAGAGGCACATGGTTAGGTTAATAAATAAAATCAAATTCATCTAACCTAGAGTTGTAAAATGTTACAATTGGAAAAAAGTTCCTACCTGAAATAGTTTAACTATAGGGCAAGATGCAAAGCACAACTATAGTTAGATGAAATAAGGATCTAGGGCCAATATAGGATTTTATTTAGAACAACCTAACAAACCAAGGATTGTAATTGGATTACAATTGGAAATAAGTTCCTACCTAATTAGTTTAACTGTAGGGCAAGATGCAAAGCACAACTATAGTTAAATGTAATATGGACCTTGGCCCACTAAGATATCTCTTTGGAGAAGTCTCGAATCAACAGGTTACGTACTTGAGGGTAGTTGATTTGTTAAAATAGTGGGAGAGTTATTAGTTAAAGACCTAGCTAATTACTTAGATTCTTGATATTAACTATCTTGCAAATTATATGTAGATGTCTGATAACAACCATAACCTCACTCTTCGCTCAATCCTCGACAAAGATAAGTTGAACGGGTCTAACTTCTTAGACTGGCAAACAAACCTCGTTATTGTTCTTCAACTCGAGAAGAAAGAATGCGTGCTCAAACGAGCCATCCCACCTGTACCGGCCGCCAATGCTTCTAGAGCTATCAAAGATACTTATGAGAAGCACGTTGATGATGACAATCAGGTGGCATGTCTCATGTTGGCTATGATGACTTCTGACCTTCAGGAACATCACGAGAGTATGAAGGCGTACGATATGATCATACACCTAAGACAGCTCTACCAAGGACAAGCTAGGCATGAGAGATTCCAAATCTCCAAAGCTCTCTTTAGTTGCAAGTTGTCAGTTGGAAACCCCGTTGCAAGATGATTGGCTACGTCCAAACTCTTGAGAAATTGGGTTTCGAACTAGAGACTGAACTTGCAACTGATCTGATTCTGCAATCGTTGCCAGAATTGTACAAGCAGTTTGTGGTTAATTACGAGATGCATGAACTCGATAAACCACTGCCAGAACTTTTGAAGATGCTGCAAACTACCGAAGAGAGCTTGACGAAAGGAAAGGGGAATTCTCTACTCCTAGTTCAAGGAGGAAAAGGCAAGAAGAAGTTCAAAAAGGCAAAGAAGAATGGGCCTAAAGGCAAGGGTAACACCGAGCCAAAGTCCAATTCTTCCAAGCTCAAGGCTAAGGGTGGAGTGGCCAAAGATTCCATTTGTCATCACTGTGGAGAAGTTGGCCACTGGAAGAGGAATTGTAAGCAGTATTTGGCAACCAAGAAAAAAGGTGAAGCTTCTGCTTCAGGTACAGTTGTTGTAAAGACTTAAACTAATCTACAATCTCTTCAAAAGTATTCAATACTTATAGTATTGCAAACCGTTGTAGGAACTAAAGAGAAGTAGGAGTGTTGATCTTGAAGATGCAAGGGTTGCAGCTTTGTGGTGCATTAGTTTAAGTTTTAGTATTTGATCAGTTTTCAATTTCGAATTGATGTCTATTTATTGTTTTAAGTATTATTGGTTATTTCAATAAAGGACAAATTGTTGCTTCATTTATAGAAGTATTTCATATGATCAAATATTTTGCCTCGCAAGCATATCACAATACAACAACTATACCAAGGCTACAAAGTACAAATATTAATCAGTTAATAAGTTTGTCACAAAATTATGAATAAAGTGATAACCACTTAGAGGTACAAGGATATCTTTATAAAGGTTATAGCCAACTACCCTTTCTATTAAAATTTTCGAAATTTAAACTTGCCATTAGCATTAATAAAGCACCCTTAATAAAGATCAAGTGATATTAATGCCAAATTTACATAATCAGGAAAGACAAAAGTGATACGATCATAAAATTGACGTTCCCTCAAACTTTATCTAGATAACGTGACTAAAATAGTTAGTCTAATAAAGAGGATTATGTAACCTTTCCAAATGCTACTGAAACTTAACCACAAAAATGATCATTGTAGACTCTGAAAGGAAAGAGCACTTGGAAATGTTCCAAAACGATTCCTTTCTTAAATAACAAGTAATGAAAGTAAGTCTCATATGAATGAAGACACTTTAAACACTTGTTATGGATGAGTCTATCAAGGATAAAAGGAAGGGTTTCGAAAATCTATAACTAGTTATAGCACTTATATGTCTAGGGTAAAAGTCTTATTGAAGACTAGTGGGCGCACAATGAGTATGTTACATATCATTGACAAAATAAATTAAAAACTTATTAGTCATGAATGCAAATAGTAGTTATGTGCTCAAGTATGAAGAATTCATATAGATGGATCAAAGAACTAGGAATAATCTAAGACCAATACATACATGGAAGTTTTTTTTTGAAACTTGCATGAATCTCAAAGTAAAGCCTTTTTGGAGACTCACTCTATAAAAGAACCGCATGGAAATCGTTCTATGGAGTACCATGAGATACGGGCTTGATTCATTCTTAAAGGATATATTTTATATATGTCTAAACTGAGCTAAGAATAGTATAAAAGTTGACTTTTGATTCTTAAAAAGAGAAAAAAGAGTATGGTTTTCTAAAATGGCTTAAGTGTGAATGTTACACACAAAATAGCTCGTTTAAAACAACCATAGGGTAGGTTGAAATTAACAAAACATATATTGACAAGCATTGACATGGTGTCATACGCAAGGTAAATTTGCAAATATTTTGGTTTTGTAGCTTCTCACGAATGGATAGCGTTGCTCCCAGCATTAGAAACCAATATCTCGTTGTACTGACAACGATAGGGTTACTACAGGAGCTAAAGAAGCTACACCTAGAAACCAAGACGTCATTAGATCTCACCACATTATACGAACAGTCGTAAAATGAAAGTATCAAAATTTGCAAGATAGAAAAGGATAAACAATGCCTTAACCTATTGACCCAGGCTTTGGGAAAACCTATACAGGAGGGTCACACTTCGTGCATGAAGCATACATGGAAACCATAATTGGCCTTAGTGCTAGTGGGAGATTGTTGAATATAAGTGAGCCCTAAAGGCCAACTTATGATTCCATATCTATATTATATCAAGAACAATAGGCCCTAAATATTGTTTAAGTTGTCTCGTGTGATTTAAACATAGCTTTAGTCCATAGAGTAGGCGCTCTAGTAACATAGATGAGAACTACGACGTTATAATTATGAGTCTGTTACGAAGATAGAGACTATGTCTAAAATATCCTTAGTCGAATATTATGACAATACGGACATCATAATATATAAAGACTAATACGTATGAGATGAGGTAGCTGCATATCATAGGCTATAGATAAAGTGTTATCTGAATCTATAGGTAGGCAACCATATTGGATATGTTGCTGGATTGACCCGCTATGAGAATAATATATGGGTTTGAGTTAAAGTGTTAATATTATTCTCGTGGGACCATTAGTATAACTATCCTTTGACTTGAAGTTATTACATTCTTTGGTAAGTTGAGTTGT